TTAAGGAACTTTGGGTTAAAAGATCGGCTAATTCCCTAGCTGACGGTTTAGCTAAACAAGGGGCAGAAAGGGATTCACTTTTTTGGGCTAAGCTGTAACTATAGTGTGTTTTCTTTCTTTTTTTCTTTTCTTGAGGTTCTTCGTTGCTCTTGGAAGATAAGCGTGTTTGTCTTCCTATTGTAAATCTTCTTTTGATGAGTTAATGAAAGTGTTATTGATCAAAAAAAAAATCTGGCACATACTTCTCTAGAACAAGTAATGTAATAACAGATGATCTTTGATCTAGATAAATTCGAAGTGTGAGAAATTCCAGTATATTACATACTGGTGTGACCATGGCTTCATACTCAGCCTTTTGGGTTTTCCTACCTATCATACTGGACATAGACACAACCATCACCTTAGACATGAAACAAGGTTTCATGCATGGAAAGTCCTCAAGTCCTAATATTTTTGTGTATATTTATTTATATATTAGAGGATATATAGAGGATCAACTTCAAAAGACAATAGGATGAATTGTGAAACATTGATGTCTTTGTTTTTAATATTTGCAACCACAAGAGAGCAAGCATGAGAATGAGTGCATATGCACTCACAACACAACAACGTTGCAACCATGCTTTGAGAAAATTTACAATGTCATGCGATAGCTTAATTCAAAAACTGCTCTTGCATTTAATGATGCTTACTAATCATTATTTTGAAGACAATAATATACAACACCCATTTCTCCTCATAGTTTAGAGGTGGGTGACACAAAACAGCTAACAGCTGAACAGCCCAAAAAAACAGAAATTAGCACCATATATTACAATCACTGCTCCTGGACCCAGAGTACCCCATTCCAATTCAACCCTATGAAAGTGATGGGAAAACTGGCCCAATTCAGGCCCATGGACCTAGGCCACACGTCACGCAGATCTACCTCAGGAAGAATAAGAAGGAAGCTCTGGCTCAACCTGCACCTGAGTCCATCTCAGCCACCCCTGCAGTTGAGACAGTTACAGCCATCTGACAGCTAAAGAAATCATTAATGAAAGCATTACCAAGCTTCCCTATCTCTCTTCCCCCCCCCTCTCTTCTTCTTCTTCTTCTTCTTCCCTATCCCCTGTTCCCCTTTGTCCATTTCAGGAGTTAAGAGTCTCACTCTGAGAGACTCCAGAGGTAAGCTGAACTTATCAGATTGGTATTAGAGCTGTCAGATCGAGTAGACATGACGAACACTCAGTCAATGACCACCAGCAAACAAGATCAAAGTTGACCTGCACCAGGTTGTCTCCGAACTCAAACAAATCTAGGAGATGGTACCGGGAATAGCCTTCCAAAAGGAGAAGTCAGTAGTAGCCACCGGTAGAGACAGTGGCAATGAGGAATTGAGCTGGGGGAGTAATCAACAGGGGTCGGCAGGTCCTGGCAAGGTAACCAAGCTTGATTTCCCAACCTTCTATGGCAGAGATCCCATTCCTTTGGATATTTAAGGCTGAGTGGTACTCTGAGTACCATGAGATTTTGGGTCCCCAACGTGTTACAAACTTCCTTTCATTTTGAAGGTGAAACTATACTGTGGTTTCAATGGTTTAGATGCTCAAAGCCTCAAATTGCCTGGACAAAGTTCACCGACGCCCTTCGCACCCGATTCAGCCCGACGGGATATGATGACTATGACAAGATGCTCTCCAGAGTAAAGCAGAGGGGTACGATTAGGGATTATTAGGTTGAATTTGAGAAGCTCGCTACCATGGTTTATGGGTGGCCTAGGTCCATGGGCCTGAGTTGGGCCAGTGTTCCCATCAAAAAGTGAAATTGCAAGAAAGAAAACCAATCAATTCCATTGTAAACCCAAGATCTCCAAGGGGTATCTGACTATTTTCAAAATTTTCATACCTATAGAAAGAAGAAACTTAAACCACATGTCCAAATCAAGGTTTAAAATGTCAATGCCGATGGAAATGCCGCTTACCCAAATATAGGGCATATGTAATGATATTCTGTAAAAATGTAAAAATTAGACATTGGGGAAATATTATGAAATATTGGAAATATGCAATGATATTCTGTAAAATGATAAGAGAAACATTAATACACCTGTCCAAACTATTATCTTCCATGATGCATATGTTTTTGTTCTAATAAATTATTAGAATTAAATCATGTAAACAATATAAACAATTTAATATTTTTATTATTAAGAAAACTATTTTATTTTATTCTAATAAGTAATTAGTTTAAGTAATATTTTTATTATTATATAAAATATCTCACTATTTTTTGGTTTTTATGAATATTTTATCTCAAATATTAACTTTCTTATTATTATTTCATTTTTATTACTTTTATAATGCGGGTCTACACTATTACTATAGACCTTCATATAAATGTAATACAAGGCTATAAGAATATATTAAAGATTCTTTTTATAAGTTTTCTATTAGGAGGTCTATTGTATTACAATAGACCCTATTGCATTGTAACATCCTTGTAGTTATGTTTTTAAAGATTCCACTTAAAGGCTTGCTTTTGTGGTGGTCTATAGACTTAGATAGACCATCATATATTGCAGCATGTCTTTTATAACATAAACTAAACATTTAGGCTTAAGATTTCATTGGTCATTAGAACCCTCAAACTAAAACTCCAAAGACTCTACAAAGACTCAAAGACGCAGTGCAACTGTGCGAGGATTTTAGGAATTCAAAGATGAAGACAAAGAAATAGAAGAGGAAGAGGAAGACATGCATTCTCCTCAACCTCATGTCCTCAACTCCATATCTTCTTTTTTTTTCTTTTTTTTTCCCTTATTTTTTATGGTTATTTACTGTGAGAGGGAAATAGGGATGGTATTGCATACCCGACTCGAGATGAGACTTGAGAGTGAGATGATAGCGAATTCTTTAGATGTCCAATGTCCTGCATCTTTTTCCAAGAAGGTATTTTAGTGCAAGACTGAGGGTAGAAGCCACTTTTGTGCCTATTTGAG